TTCCATGTGACTCTTATTTTCTTTCTCTCTGTCATCAATCTTACTAATTCATTCATCTCATTCGCATGTGCATTAATTGTGCATTTCGAATTTTCATCTATAGAAAAAAAAAAAAGAAATGTCTGCCTATTAAAGAGAGAGAAGAAGCGTTTTCTCAATCAAACGGTGTGAACATATCCTAACACCTACCTCAAGAAAATACAATAATCCAAGATAAAAATTATAATAATAATAATAATTATTATTATTATTTTAGTCAACCGTTTGGGATTTCAATATCATGGACTTTATAAGTATCACCTCTACGCCACACTATCAGGCACACAGCTTTTGACAGAGAGAAAACTACAAAACTGGTTCGTTTTGTTTCATTCAATTTTCTGAAACTCACTGTCTTTATTTTTTCTGTTATATAGTTCTCTTACGGCATTCATTCGTTGTACTAAGCAGGATGGGAGGTGAGGGCGCGATTGACGGCGGAGTGCGGAGGCGGGGATTGACATTCCGGAAAAACGACTTTTTTCCGGAAGAGTCGTTCAAGAGTTGGAACAACTATGCCAGAGCCATTATGGAGACGCCGTGGAGGTTGATGGATCGGGTGCTGAGTCGATCCCAGGACCACACGGAGCTCGTAGAGATGAAGGCTCGGAGCGGCCACGAGATGAAGAAGACGCTCAACTGGTGGGACCTCATGTGGTTCGGAATCGGCGCCGTCATCGGCTCCGGCATATTCGTCCTCACCGGCCTCGAGGCTAGGTCAACGGTCGGACCCGCCGTCGTCCTCTCCTACGTCGTTTCCGGAGTCTCCGCCTTGTTCTCCGTCTTCTGCTACACCGAGTTCGCGGTAGAAATCCCCGTCGCAGGTTCCATCTCTTGCACTCTTGCTTTTGTTTGCGTACAGTTTCACTTTGCAGGATTTCAGACAATAACACGTTTAAATCTTCATACAAAAATAACTACTTTGAATCTAGGTTTATATATATAAACTTGATTAGAAAACAAGTTAGATTTTAATTTTTTTTTATCAAACAAACCAAATAATTTAAACAAATATAAATATTACGTTTAAATATATTATGTATATATTTATCTCTCTTTCTTAGTTATTAAGAAGTTTACAGACTCTAACTTCAATATTTTAAACTAAGATTTTGTATAAATATTTATATATATATAATTATATGGTGAATCGAAAACTATCAGATAATATAGATAGATATTTCTGATCCAGCATTTGAATTAGACCGTTGTATCTGCATATTAGTAAATTATTTAGAACAGTGATTGGTTATTTTATATAAAAAAGCTTTTTGTATGTCAACTTTGGATACTTGATTGGTCTTTAAGTTTGACAATATATTTTTCATTTGTCGGTGACTTTATATTTATATTTATTTATAAATACAAATTCACTGAGTGTAATGCATATCAAACGCTTAATTGATATATTAGGAATTTGATTATTAAAAATTAAATGGCAAATTTAATTGGTGAAAGTTACGTATTAGTTAGTCCTCAACTTTTGGAATATGAATAAGGTGGGTGACCTACAAAGTTAAACTCTTCCACCGTTGTATTGTTGAATTTTCAATTAATGAGTTGTGCTGGGAATGCACGGTCCCAGCACCATTTTTCTTCCTCCAAAACTCATACTCATAAGAACAATTTTTCTGAATTTCTCATAATCGTAATAATATATGTGTGTATCATACACACACACACACGTAAAATGATATATATCCATGATTTAATGTTCAAATAATAAAGTCATTCTCTAAACAGTAGAGATGACGAAACTTGAACATACAACATCTTCTCTCGTTTCAAACGAATTGACGTGTGTACTCTTTGGTATATTTATTCTTCTTAATCGGAGTGACGTTGTTTATAGAATAATTTTGAGAGGGTGTTCATTCTCTTTGTTTTTTTTTTAAAAATCCTATATAAAATGTAAAATTTAAGACGTACTATAAAAAAATAAAAATTTGAAATATGATGTTAAACTTTTGATGTCTAATTTATGGAACCATATTTATGTTAAAGTGAAGTTTTAGGTCCCCTTTGAATCCCGTTGATTGGTAGAATTTGAGTTGAATATTAAAATTAACTTTGATACTGATAAGAAAAGTAAGCATGCATGGATAAGTAGATAAATAAAGAGGAAAAGAGTTCATGAATTGTTAAATTAGAAATGCTATATTACAATAATAGTAGTAGTCCCAGTGTTTAATGAGAAAATAACGTCCAACAACATGAGAGAAACGATGAAAGCGACCGCCCGCCATTGAATATAAAGGAGTCAAATTACACAAAACGTATCCTCTTGGACTCCTGTTGTCGACCTTGCACTTTAGATGTCACATCTCAAGTGTAATTGTTCGCACTTCGCAAAAGCATCAACCAAAATGGTAGTTTTAAATTTCCAATATCCATAGTTTATGTTCTCACACCACTTTAAATTTTACTATTCATGAATAAATTAAGTTATACTTTTATAAAACAATCCAGCATGGAAACACGATTTCTTTTAATCAAGACTCGTCTATTTATGTATTTAAAAAAGAAAATTAGCCATGGACAATGTTTTTTGTCTCAAGAATATCACATGGTACCTAATTTCACTAGAAAACATAGGTTTGACTTTTCTAAAGTGAGAAGAAAATGCCATGTGCAACTATTAATCCTGTTTCGTTAAAACTACTAAGCATTTTGGCTATGTTTGGTTTTGTTAGGTGGATCATTTGCGTACTTAAGAGTAGAACTGGGAGAATTTGTGGCCTTCATAGCTGCCGGAAACATCCTCCTTGAATATGTAATCGGCGGCGCCGCGGTGGCTCGGTCATGGACCTCTTATTTCGCCACCCTCTGCGGCCAACACCCTGATGACTTTCGTATAGTAGTCCACAACATGAACCCTGATTATGGGCATCTGGACCCTATATCCATCGGAGTACTCATAGCCATCACTCTCCTCGCAGTGTACAGCACCAAAGGCTCTTCAATCTTCAACTTCATTGCCACGATCTTTCACTTGATTGTCATTGCCTTCATCATCATCGCAGGCCTAACGAAGGCCAACACCGAAAACTACAAACCTTTTCTTCCTTTTGAAGTTCGTGGCGTGTTCAAGGCTTCGGCTGTTCTTTTCTTTGCCTATGTTGGCTTTGATGCTGTCTCAACCATGGCTGAGGAAACCAAGAACCCTGCGAGGGACATTCCCATTGGTCTCGTGGGCTCAATGGTGATTACCACATTCTTATATTGCGCGCTAGCTGTGACACTATGCCTCATGCAAAAGTACACCGACATTGACCCAGACGCTCCCTATTCGATTGCGTTTAGTGCTGTGGGAATGGATTGGGCTAAGTACATTGTTGCATTTGGGGCGTTGAATGGAATGACCACTGTGTTGTTGGTGAGTGCGGTGGGTCAAGCTCGTTACCTAACCCACATTGCACGTACCCACATGATGCCTCCTTGGTTTGCTCATGTTGATGAGAAAACTGGGACACCCGTGAATGCCACAATTTCCATGCTTGCAGCCACAGCCGTAATTTCTTTCTTCACTAAACTTAATATTCTCTCCAACCTCTTGTCAATTTCCACTCTCTTCATCTTCATGCTTGTGGCTGTGGCGCTTCTAGTGCGCCGCTATTACTCAAGTGGGGTAACCACAAAGCAGAATAAAACGAAGCTCATTCTGTGCCTTGTGCTGATTTTGGGGTCTTCGTGTGGAATTTCTGGTTATTGGGCAAGCAGCGATGGTTGGATTGGGTATGCAATTTTCGTGCCGCTGTGGATTTTAGGGACTGTGGTTCTTTGGCTTTGTGTTCCGCAGGCAAAGCAACCGAAACTTTGGGGGGTGCCCTTGGTTCCATGGCTACCTTCTTTATCTATTGCCATTAACATATTCCTTCTTGGCTCTATTGATAAAGATTCATTTATCAGATTTGGGGTGTGGACAGGGCTCCTCTTGGTATACTATGGGCTACTGGGGCTACATGCTTCTTATGATACAGCGAAAGGGTTCGAGAGCCAAAAAACTTCTGTGGATGTTGATAAGCAGTGGAACAAGGCGGAAGAAGGGGCGCAAGGGGCAAGAGGGCAAGTGCCTCTTACAGCAGTTACAACTGACTAATGTACAAAAAGTTGCCGTAACTAGACAAAAGGCTTCTCAGCAAATAATTTACTTAAACTTTCGATATTCCAGTTTGTCAAAAAAAGTAGCTGTGGGTGTGTATTTTTCAAAAAAAGAAGCTGTGGATGTGTGAACATGTTTCTTATTAGTGTTGCTGAATTATTTGTAGAGTGATAATCTTTAGACAACGATCTGTTTTAGAATAGTTTCTTTTTAGCAGTAAAATCTGCATGGTTAGTACAAAGGGTTCTCAAATTCAACTACAATTTAGGGGATAGAACACCAATCATTTTTCAGTATGGACCCATACCGAACTTCTTGACTTATGCAACTAGAGCATAACAAATGATTCACATCCTCATGTACCTGTAAACGGAGAACATGGTCATTCTATAAATTAGTAACGATATTTCCAGTGCTAGAATTGAGTCTATTAAAAAGTGACCGTCATGAAAGTGGTAGTATTTTTAAAGGACCTTTAAACAGCCAGAGGTGTTACTTTCATTAAACAAATATGGAAGTGTTAGCATAATGAAAGCTTCAATATAGTTAATTTCAAGTCTCATTTGTTTGTTTTCCTTTGCTTGGATTTTGGAGTCTAGCTTCACTCTCCAACCTGAAATAGATATCCTTGTCATGCTATCCGTGTCTCTTTCTAGCTCTCTTCACGTTCCACACTAGACACAATCAAGCAGAAAAATAAAGGGTAGTTTGGAAACCACACAATAAGATAATTCATTGTACAAACAACATAAATGGAAGATTGTTTGACCGAGCTGTAAAGACACAGTTTAACCAACTAAACATATCCGTAGAGGTGTAATTAAAACTCACTAAACAACCCAAAATGTCACTACCATGAAGAGAAGAGAGAGGGGAAGAAACGGTACTTAAACTAAAGCAAACCATTCACCAGAGAGCAATTTAAAAAGCGCTTCACTTTAGATTTAGCATCTGTGATAGTTTGAGATATGCAAGCATATTCATCCTGTGCTCTTGCTAGTGTCTCCTTGCAAGCAGTCTCTTTATTACATATTCTCTCACGTAATGCTTGGAACTTTGCTTCCAATGCCTCCCTTTCTTCTTGACATTGATCCAACTCTCTCTGGACAGTTTCGATGACCTTTTTGTTGCTATCTTTTCTCTCCTTCAGCATGCCAGATTGTTTAAGAATCTTTCTTGCCTCATATATCTCTTCCAATCTCAGGTGAAGCCACTCAATGTTCACTTGCATATTTTTCATTTCATTTGCAAGGGCAATCATGCTATGCAGCCTATCTTCTGTGATTTTGATGAGATCCTTGTCTTTCAGTTCTGAGATGATCTCACATATTGTCTCCAAAAAAACTGATCGGAATCTTTCTGTCAATATCAAGGAATTCTCAAAAATATCTCTATGCTTGGTGAGAATACTTCTTAACAGGGGCATGAATTCTTCCTTCACTTTGTATCCTTCAACTCCGTCCATTGTTGAGCTATGTCCCACAGAATCAACTTCATCATCACCTTCATTTTCCCACATATTAACTATGTGAGTAAATTGAATGCTGAATTGTGAGGATGAATGTGCAACCATTGAAATAGACCTACTATTGTTCTTGTCCTTTCTTTCCCTAGAGTTAGCCGATGTTTGAGTACCCTCAGCCAAAAGTTCCTTCTCAAGAGGGGCACATTCTACTTCCAATGCATTGTGCTTTTCCACTTGAGTCGAGTGATTAACCATTTGCTTCTCATTATCACTCACTTCTGTAATCTTCTCTGCTGTTGTTCCAGTTTCAACAATCTCTTGTTGTTCTGATCTCATAGAGGAACAGCCGGCATAAATTACAGTGGAACGTGAGACTTGGTTAGCCTGAACAGGGGTGGTTCTAGTTTCAATATACTTATTTGCTAATCTCAAGGAACGGCGGGTATGAAGTACTCTGGAATCTGGAATCAAACGCTTTCTTGCAGAGGAAGGGAGGTACGAAGACTCTGACTGAACATTGAACACAAACCAACAATGTGCAAGTTACAAATAAAATGAATGGTAAGGATGCTACTTACATCCACAAGAATGATAAAACATTTGCATATAGTCTATGAAACTTTCAAAAACTGAACTTTTAAGTCTAACTTGTATCTATTTATATGGTATAATTAAACCTTGTCTCAAGTGGATCTTCATCTCTCCCTTAGCAAAACACAAACCTTTTAGATGTCTCAAATGACCTGAATGTTTCTGTATTTTTGTGCAACAATGAGTATTCACATTTCCTCAACTTTCAAGATGACAAAGAAGATCAAACTAGCGTGTATGATGGTGAAAAATCAACAATCTTATACCATAACAATCATGATGAACTTAGAAACATATAAAACAGTATCATATATAGAGATATTTGTTTTGGTAATGGGGTATATAGAGCTCATGAGATAAATGGGTAAACCAAGGTGAAGATAGCATTAGCATATCTTACATATATGAATGCATACATACCTGGCTGTTTGGTGAGTAAGATTCAGAAGAATATGTTCTTGCTCTTTGGTTAGGCATTTTTGTTTGTTTAGTGTTCTTCTTCTTACAAAATCTCAAACTCAAGCAATGCAGAGTTGTTTAATCTGTGAAACTCAAAGCAAAATTTAGTGAATGGAAACAGAAGATGAAAATAAAGAGAGAGAAGTCATATTAGGTCCATCCTATTTCAAACTATCAACTTTAGTTACACTCTTCCTCGTGTTCTTATTTCTTATGGCAAAATAATTATAAGTATAATAAAAATCCATTTTCGTAAATATCCTACGGGTAGGTAGACTGTTCAAGGCATTGTTTTTTTTCTAGCTATCCCTAATTTTAATGCTTCAGAAAAGACGAAAATGTAGTTTGAAACTCTGAGAATATTAAAGAAAACCTGTTTTCTAACCAAAAATGGTAGTCACAACTTTATAGCCGTGTCCCTAAAACAGGAAAGAATAAATCAGGAATGGGATTTTGTACGACTTCTCTGAACTAAAGCTACACACAAAAGTGGAAAGGAAATATAAATAGAGGCTATCGATATTAAATTCTAATAATATAATTAATATAGACTTCTTTTTATCATTGGTNGTGAGAAGAAAATGCCATGTGCAACTATTAATCCTGTTTCGTTAAAACTACTAAGCATTTTGGCTATGTTTGGTTTTGTTAGGTGGATCATTTGCGTACTTAAGAGTAGAACTGGGAGAATTTGTGGCCTTCATAGCTGCCGGAAACATCCTCCTTGAATATGTAATCGGCGGCGCCGCGGTGGCTCGGTCATGGACCTCTTATTTCGCCACCCTCTGCGGCCAACACCCTGATGACTTTCGTATAGTAGTCCACAACATGAACCCTGATTATGGGCATCTGGACCCTATATCCATCGGAGTACTCATAGCCATCACTCTCCTCGCAGTGTACAGCACCAAAGGCTCTTCAATCTTCAACTTCATTGCCACGATCTTTCACTTGATTGTCATTGCCTTCATCATCATCGCAGGCCTAACGAAGGCCAACACCGAAAACTACAAACCTTTTCTTCCTTTTGAAGTTCGTGGCGTGTTCAAGGCTTCGGCTGTTCTTTTCTTTGCCTATGTTGGCTTTGATGCTGTCTCAACCATGGCTGAGGAAACCAAGAACCCTGCGAGGGACATTCCCATTGGTCTCGTGGGCTCAATGGTGATTACCACATTCTTATATTGCGCGCTAGCTGTGACACTATGCCTCATGCAAAAGTACACCGACATTGACCCAGACGCTCCCTATTCGATTGCGTTTAGTGCTGTGGGAATGGATTGGGCTAAGTACATTGTTGCATTTGGGGCGTTGAAGGGAATGACCACTGTGTTGTTGGTGAGTGCGGTGGGTCAAGCTCGTTACCTAACCCACATTGCACGTACCCACATGATGCCTCCTTGGTTTGCTCATGTTGATGAGAAAACTGGGACACCCGTGAATGCCACAATTTCCATGCTTGCAGCCACAGCCGTAATTTCTTTCTTCACTAAACTTAATATTCTCTCCAACCTCTTGTCAATTTCCACTCTCTTCATCTTCATGCTTGTGGCTGTGGCGCTTCTAGTGCGCCGCTATTACTCAAGTGGGGTAACCACAAAGCAGAATAAAACGAAGCTCATTCTGTGCCTTGTGCTGATTTTGGGGTCTTCGTGTGGAATTTCTGGTTATTGGGCAAGCAGCGATGGTTGGATTGGGTATGCAATTTTCGTGCCGCTGTGGATTTTAGGGACTGTGGTTCTTTGGCTTTGTGTTCCGCAGGCAAAGCAACCGAAACTTTGGGGGGTGCCCTTGGTTCCATGGCTACCTTCTTTATCTATTGCCATTAACATATTCCTTCTTGGCTCTATTGATAAAGATTCATTTATCAGATTTGGGGTGTGGACAGGGCTCCTCTTGGTATACTATGGGCTACTGGGGCTACATGCTTCTTATGATACAGCGAAAGGGTTCGAGAGCCAAAAAACTTCTGTGGATGTTGATAAGCAGTGGAACAAGGCGGAAGAAGGGGCGCAAGGGGCAAGAGGGCAAGTGCCTCTTACAGCAGTTACAACTGACTAATGGACAAAAAGTTGCCGTAACTAGACAAAAGGCTTCTCAGCAAATAATTTACTTAAACTTTCGATATTCCAGTTAGTCAAAAAAAGTAGCTGTGGGTGTGTATTTTTCAAAAAAAGAAGCTGTGGATGTGTGAACATGTTTCTTATTAGTGTTGCTGAATTATTTGTAGAGTGATAATCTTTAGACAACGATCTGTTTTAGAATAGTTTCTTTTTAGCAGTAAAATCTGCATGGTTAGTACAAAGGGTTCTCAAATTCAACTACAATTTAGGGGATAGAACACCAATCATTTTTCAGTATGGACCCATACCGAACTTCTTGACTTATGCAACTAGAGCATAACAAATGATTCACATCCTCATGTACCTGTAAACGGAGAACATGGTCATTCTATAAATTAGTAACGATATTTCCAGTGCTAGAATTGAGTCTATTAAAAAGTGACCGTCATGAAAGTGGTAGTATTTTTAAAGGACCTTTAAACAGCCAGAGGTGTTACTTTCATTAAACAAATATGGAAGTGTTAGCATAATGAAAGCTTCAATATAGTTAATTTCAAGTCTCATTTGTTTGTTTTCCTTTGCTTGGATTTTGGAGTCTAGCTTCACTCTCCATCCTGAAATAGATATCCTTGTCATGCTATCCGTGTCTCTTTCTAGCTCTCTTCATGTTCCACACTAGACACAATCAAGCAGAAAAATAAAGGGTAGTTTGGAAACCACACAATAAGATAATTCATTGTACAAACAACATAAATGGAAGATTGTTTGACTGAGCTGTAAAGACACAGTTTAACCAACTAAACATATCCGTAGAGGTGTAATTAAAACTCACTAAACAACCCAAAATGTGTAATTAAAACTCACTAAACAACCCAAAATGTCACTACCATGAAGAGAAGAGAGAGGGGAAGAAACGGTACTTAAACTAAAGCAAACCATTCACCAGAGAGCAATTTAAAAAGCGCTTCACTTTAGATTTAGCATCTGTGATAGTTTGAGATATGCAAGCATATTCATCCTGTGCTCTTGCTAGTGTCTCCTTGCAAGCAGTCTCTTTATTACATATTCTCTCACGTAATGCTTGGAACTTTGCTTCCAATGCCTCCCTTTCTTCTTGACATTGATCCAATTCTCTCTGTACAGTTTCGATGACCTTTTTGTTGCTATCTTTTCTCTCCTTCAGCATGCCAGATTGTTTAAGAATCTTTCTTGCCTCATATATCTCTTCCAATCTCAGGTGAAGCCACTCAATGTTCACTTGCATATTTTTCATTTCATTTGCAAGGGCAATCATGCTATGCAGCCTATCTTCTGTGATTTTGATGAGATCCTTGTCTTTCAGTTCTGAGATGATCTCACATATTGTCTCCAAAAAAACTGATCGGAATCTTTCTGTCAATATCAAGGAATTCTCAAAAATATCTCTATGCTTTGTGAGAATACTTCTTAACAGGGGCATGAATTCTTCCTTCACTTTGTATCCTTCAACTCCGTCCATTGTTGAGCTATGTCCCACAGAATCAACTTCATCATCACCTTCATTTTCCCACATATTAACTATGTGAGTAAATTGAATGCTGAATTGTGAGGATGAATGTGCAACCATTGAAATAGACCTACTATTGTTCTTGTCCTTTCTTTCCCTAGAGTTAGCCGATGTTTGAGTACCCTCAGCCAAAAGTTCCTTCTCAAGAGGGGCACATTCTACTTCCAATGCATTGTGCTTTTCCACTTGAGTCGAGTGATTAACCATTTGCTTCTCATTATCACTCACTTCTGTATTCTTCTCTGCTGTTGTTCCAGTTTCAACAATCTCTTGTTGTTCTGATCTCATAGAGGAACAGCCGGCATAAATTACAGTGGAACGTGAGACTTGGTTAGCCTGAACAGGGGTGGTTCTAGTTTCAATATACTTATTTGCTAATCTCAAGGAACGGCGGGTATGAAGTACTCTGGAATCTGGAATCAAACGCTTTCTTGCAGAGGAAGGGAGGTACGAAGACTCTGACTGAACATTGAACACAAACCAACAATGTGCAAGTTACAAATAAAATGAATGGTAAGGATGCTACTTACATCCACAAGAATGATAAAACATTTGCATATAGTCTATGAAACTTTCAAAAACTGAACTTTTAAGTCTAACTTGTATCTATTTATATGGTATAATTAAACCTTGTCTCAAGTGGATCTTCATCTCTCCCTTAGCAAAACACAAACCTTTTAGATGTCTCAAATGACCTGAATGTTTCTGTATTTTTGTGCAACAATGAGTATTCACATTTCCTCAACTTTCAAGATGACAAAGAAGATCAAACTAGCGTGTATGATGGTGAAAAATCAACAATCTTATACCATAACAATCATGATGAACTTAGAAACATATAAAACAGTATCATATATAGAGATATTTGTTTTGGTAATGGGGTATATAGAGCTCATGAGATAAATGGGTAAACCAAGGTGAAGATAGCATTAGCATATCTTACATATATGAATGCATACATACCTGGCTGTTTGGTGAGTAAGATTCAGAAGAATATGTTCTTGCTCTTTGGTTAGGCATTTTTGTTTGTTTAGTGTTCTTCTTCTTACAAAATCTCAAACTCAAGCAATGCAGAGTTGTTTAATCTGTGAAACTCAAAGCAAAATTTAGTGAATGGAAACAGAAGATGAAAATAAAGAGAGAGAAGTCATATTAGGTCCATCCTATTTCAAACTATCAACTTTAGTTACACTCTTCCTCGTGTTCTTATTTCTTATGGCAAAATAATTATAAGTATAATAAAAATCCATTTTCGTAAATATCCTACGGGTAGGTAGACTGTTCAAGGCATTGTTTTTTTTCTTGCTATCCCTAATTTTAATGCTTCAGAAAAGACGAAAATGTAGTTTGAAACTCTGAGAATATTAAAGAAAACCTGTTTTCTAACCAAAATTGGTAGTCACAACTTTATAGCCGTGTCCCTAAAACAGGAAAGAATAAATCAGGAATGGGATTTTGTACGACTTCTCTGAACTAAAGCTACACACAAAAGTGGAAAGGAAATATAAATAGAGGCTATCGATATTAAATTCTAATAATATAATTAATATAGACTTCTTTTTATCATTGGTCGCTGGTATTTATTAAGGAGATAATTAAATTCACAACTTTTCAATAAATTATTCTAATTTTATCTCTAAAGTTAATCTTATATCTTCGTTAGACTGTAAATGAGTCTTTATTAAAGTTGTTGATTTTAAACAATCAAATCAACATAATATTTAAACGATTCAAATTATTAAGTAGTAAAGGAAATATTTT